TTTTCCTTCGAGTAGCTATAGAGAAAAACATCATTATAGGAAAAATTGTAAGTGCATGAATTTTAAATTTTTACGAAATAGCGTAATGATAACGATTAATCCTCAAACGATTTAAAATATTTGTWATTATTCAAAAAGTATAAGTTGTAGATACTTGAAAATTTTACCAGTTATTTAGATTGGCATTTTCTTTACATGATTTWATTTTCAACATTTTTGACTTTTTTGAGATATTTATAAGATAACTGAAATTTTCAATTTTTCTGAAAAATTTTTTTTGAAGTGTCGATAAAATTTTTTGGCCATATCAAAATACTTGAAAATTTAATACAAAGTTCCTCATAAGTTATTCTTATAGTAATTAAAAAAATATAAAAATACATATAGGCACAATTTTTTTTTATTAGCATTTGAAGTTCAAATATTGACTTAATACGTAAAAATTACGGCACTGTTCAAATTATCTTAGATAGAAATTCATAAACGTTTTTCTTTTTAAATCTAAAATTTGAAAATTTAATACTAGGCTACTAACATATTTTTACAATAGCAGTTGCAAAATAAAAGAAATACATAGTCACAATTTTTTTTTACATGCCTTCGAATTTTAATATTGACAACATACGTAAAAATCTCGAAAATTCGTAAATTATTTTAAGCTAGAAATTCATAAAAAATGTTCTATTTAAATCTAAGATTTGAAAATTTTTAATAATCTATTATATACCCTAGACAGATAAACCATCTCCGTCCAGAATCGTTTTTCGTATACAATGATACCTATCATTGCATTCAAATTTAACCTACCCTAGTCAGAAGTCCACCCCACCCCCTAATGTACAGCAGAGCGATACCCACTTACCTGCTTTTTTTATATTAATATCAATAAATTTTATTGGTTGTGTCAAAAAGTTTGACAATTTAATACAAGGYTTTCAACATATTTTTTCAATAGCAGTTGAAAAGTATTAAAAATATATATGCACGATTTTTTTTATAAGAATTTAAAGTTCAAATTTTGACCAAATACGTAAAAATTACGGCAACGTTTAAATAATCTTGTCTACCTTTATCAAAAAAAAAAATGTCTTCAGAAAGTCAAATATTTTAATAATAGTAACAATAATATATAATATATCCTAGACAGATAAACTGTCTCCGCTCAGAATCGTTTTTTGTGTACAATGATATAATATCATTGGATTCAAATTTAATTCCATTCATTACAGTAACCTATACTGTACAGCAGAGCGATATCCACTTTCTMGCTTTTTATCTATTTCTGTGCTTAAGTAGGATAATTTACTATCTAGTAAACAGATAAAATATAAAATAATACACAAGTATTATTTAAATCTATAAAGTATAGGCTATAGCTAAAGTGCAAAAACTAAAGAATAAATAGTTTTTAATACTATGTGTTATCTCCGTCACAGTAATGATTGATATTTGATAAATCGTTGATAGGTATAGCTGATTATATTCCTTTATTACGTTTGCATCGTATATAATTATTTAAGTTATAATGATGTTTTAGATGTATATTTTTGTAAAATATATGTTCCTCTTCATTTTATTTTACCAGACATTGTTGGGTTGAATATTTTGCCATCKGATTACATTTCGGGGAAGTAATATTATTATTTACCAAACCAAATGACGAGTCACTCCTAAAGTTTTATTACTATTTGTAATTTATCATCCAGATTGGATATTGTAAAATATATACCAAGTATAAATATACTTAAATTTTAATTTATATAAACATGAGTACATACTTAACTTTAACGATAATAATAAATAAAACTCATTAAATAAGGTCGTGAGTTAAATTGTATGAATTGATTATAATCATTTAATCTCTTCATCAATATAACWGTACAATATAATACTAGATTAATAATTTAAAATAATTATGTATAAAATAATGAATAGGTAATAATATAATGGTTGTATATTATATAAAGACTAGTTTTATAAAAACATTATGAATATAATTTCATTCTGATTAATGTAATTTTCAAAAATCAATAGAAATTATACGATTCAATAAATACATTTTTAACAATAAATAAATAAATATAGGTTTTATCTAATATTTAAGTCTTAGATCCAATCATCCTTGACAARCTAGCTGATTGTTAAGGGTATAARGAGAGAAGGTCAACATTTGTGATTTCGCCCTCTAGAATTTTCGACCGCTCAAGCGAATGATAGCTGGTGAATTATTGCAAAATTATAATATAATAGTAAAAACCTTGTAGAAAATTATGAAATATATTGTTTTTTTGCTTATGAAATTGATTGGGTGGTTATTAAATTGACAGGTGATGTACCAGTGTAGTGGTAGACCACCATTGGTGGTSTRTTATCGTTTGTAGTATGACACTCCTTTTAACTTATGATCATGAACAGAAGATTCTAGGACGTACGGTGAATTTTCATAGTAAGGGGAGGAATGCTCAATAGGCAAGTCGACGACTACGTCGTGACTGTGGATTGACGGCGTGTTTTTGATGTAGTACTTGTCTTTGGTATACTTGACGAATGGCTGTGCGTGGTGGTAGGCTGACTTGTATTTGTAATGGTCGTGGTAGTCATGGTATGGGATGGTCTTGAATAAAGCGTAGAGTAGCAACAGTTTTCCGATGACAGTGGACATCACCGATAACACAATCAGCAACGATATTTTACTTATCATGACGCCCAACACTCCCGCGAATAATGTTCCGGCCGTTGCCAAATAGCTTTTCATATCTCTGCTCTCTGTAATTAAAAATAATATATTATGCTTCGTTAATGCCGTTTCTGCTGTCTAATATGGGGATGGTGAATGATGTCGTGTGGTGATCTGGTTTTTMGATATTCTTAAGCAAAAATATAAAGGTATATTTTATGTAGGATAGGTACTTCTGTGTTATTTTAAACTCAATATTTGAATGTACTAATATTGCATATTATGATGTATTACTTATAAAAGCGTACGAAGGTGCTCTTAAAATATTTGTATGATACAAGGTCGATGAGATAGATGAATTCACTTAATTATTATTTTTATTATTATTAAAGAAATAAAACTTCGGTAGCTGTGGCCAAATTAGTCTGTCAGTGATTATAATTATAATTAATTAGTTATAACATTGTAAATTTTGATAATACTTGCTTAAACTATTTTATTTTTTAAATAGTTTATTGAATTATGAATAACTTTTAGATAGTGATATTATTGAGTGGACTGTTGTTGGATAGTCTCCTGTGTGGACTCTTCTATTGAGACAATTAACTTTATTATTCTAGCAAACAACATAGAATTGGTTTTGCTGTGTGTAAATATTCAATGTATAATATGTAATATGTTATCAAGTTTAAAAATATGATACACGATAACTACTTTTTAAAATAAGTTATGAATTAAAACATTTGTAAATGAATTAAATAAATACATTTTGTTTAAATTTGTGTTTTTAAAATCTTATTATAATCAAGATATATTTTGTTTTAAGTAATTAAAGAATCCTTATGTCCGTCATGAATAACTATTTCAATTTTAATTATACACTTTTAGTAACTCGGCTATTCAGTTCTTAAGTATATCTTTGTTAAA